ATTCGGTCCATATATAGTCCAATTAGATCGTTCGATCCTGTTGCACGCGTCGTCTCGCTTTCGCCGCTATGAGGAGGGGGCAAGGAATGGGTGCTTCGGGTGCACCTTCGGCTGGACTCGCCGCTGTTGGCGCAGACTCCTCGAGGACGGGCGAGAGAGAGAGAGAGAGAGAGGGATACGCGATGAGGTCTCTCGAGAGTAGAAGCGCGAGCTCATCGTAAACGCGTTACGTAACAGCGATATCGCGCCGATCCGTCTCTTATCACGCCGGCGCCTCACGACGCGACACGCCGCGCGCGTCGGTCGCTCGCTCAAGGTCTGCGGATATAATTGCGAATCCATGGGGGTGAGCGGAAAAGGACGTGCGAAAGAAACGAAGAGACAACGTGGTAGATAGATCGTGTCAATTTTCCTACGATATCTGTGAACACTGTGCGCCGGTAAGAGGTGCGTGCAAAAAGAACATGGTTAGAATCGCTTTTGTTCTTCTCCCTTCCTCTTTTTGTTTCGATAACGATTATTATTGCGCGCGCGTTACGCAATTTTCCGCCGCCTTCTCCTCTCGCGACGCCGCTCGTTCTACTGGCCAATGACCAGAGCTAGATAACGCGCATACGACGACCCACTTACGGACATGCTAATCTTGGACTATAACTCGAACTAGATTCCTCCGAGTTACCGTCCTCCTTCTTACTCCTTGTCCTCTTCTGTCGCATATTTCTATCACACAAAATCGAGTGACACTTCGATCACGTGTACGCGATAGATAAACGTTTACAATGGGCGGTAGAAGTATGAAGAAATTAACCAATCATAGTCAATTATTCTCCTTACATTTGAATATGATTGGTCAGTTTCTTATATCTTGTGAACATACTCCTACTACCCATTGTAGACTAGAATCGTAAAAGAGAGAGATGTATGCAAAATTTCGCGTCGGTGCATATTTATCCGACGTTTATCGAACAAAGTCGGCAACTTGAATTCGGCACGATGACAGAGGCCGTCTTTCTATGATTTTTTTCTTTTCCTTCACCGCTCGCGAGGCTCGAATTCCTTAAGCGTTTGGATACAACGCAGCGCGAAGCCGGCAAGTCACGAAGATGACAGATACGATGTATCGGAAGAATGACTTCTAATTTGTGGAAGGGGCCGAGTACTCTCTCGCATATAATCGCCGCGTTAGAGGCTAAGTAAACCCGACGTCGGCCCGGGACTCGGCTACACAAAGGCAAACACGAATGCATAAGCGAAAACGACCCGCATTGCATTATGATGGTAATTTGTCGTGGCGGTTGCAGCACGCTCTCGTCGTTATCGTCACCCATACATGTACACACCGCCGTTCCATTCCTGGGGAGAAGACGTTCTCGCTTCGATAGATAGCTATCTAGATAATTCCCCGATAATGAAACGGGGAATATCGCGCACATTGTTACGTTCTTTCCTCGAAAATCGCTCGAGGAAAACAATTTTTTACAACGAAATTGCGGGCTTGGAGATACAAATTGAATACAGCGATTTATAGAAACGATGGATTAAACAATATTATTTGTTCGGCTCGCGATAATTCATTCGAGCTTGTAAAATTATTACATATAAGACGCGCGAGACCCGAGAAACGGACTTTGTCGGGCTGAGGGAGAGTGATTTTCCGCACGTGCTTAAACAGGTGTAATATTCTCTTCCGCCGGAAGTACGGTCTATCTCGACGAGGGAAAGAAGACGCTTCCTCGCGGTCAGAAGGCCACGCTTACCTTAAACCCTCTTATCTCATTTCGCGAGCGGTCTCTAATAACGTGCGCGGATCCTTCATTAAGGCGCTAACAGGCCGAGAGTTTTGCGTTAATTGAATTGAAATTATAGTTGAATGCGAACGAATATCAAACGATTTGGAAGAATCTCTTATCGAGTGTTGCCAGAGGAAAAAAAAAAGGATGGATCTCGACGGAAAATTTGGAGAATCACTTGTGCCTCATTAGACGCATTATATAGTCATTATAAGTGTATATAGAAATCAGATAAAGTTTCAACATCTACCAGGGCAAGACTCATCGGTCTCTAATCGATCCCATCATGTCTAAACGTAGTATAATGGGACATAACACGTTGAACTGTCAAAATGACAGATGAACGAAATAATCAACAGTGATGAGAAGCATACTCGATTTGAAAGTTTTGGTCTAGCGAATGTTTTATCGGTGCGCAGGAGAGTCCTCCATTATCAATTGTTTCCCGTCAAGAAGCTAGAAAAGTATCATATTTGGATATATACCGTATGAATGTGCCGTATTATTCCGACATCGGAAAAGACATCGCGAGAGAAGGATAGCGTGATCAAAGTGTTAACAAAGTTATTCTCGCGAGGCAAAGTTGCCGCTCGCTCCTTTTTTGCGACGTTTACAAACACGCGCTTCCCGCGCGAACAAGTCGTCGAGGGACAGCGCGCGCGCACGCGTGTTATCCGAGACGACGCTTCGAACGCTGAGGAGACTGCGCGAGTTGTCGGGGAAAGGCGGGAAACCCGCTCAGCAGGGTCCGGAGGAGGCATACCACAGTTTCCAGGTATACGAGGGAGACGAGATACCGGAAGGAATCGCGAGGGATGCGAAAACTTTCAGGTCTCGCAGCATTTCCGGTCGTCGTAACAAAAGAGCGAAACAACGTGTGTGACAGTTGGCGGCGGTGTGCGCACACAATGCCGGGCAAAATGTCGGTTCCTTGCGGCGAGTCGCGTAAGCCCCGTGGCAGACCTCGCGCGAGAAAGAGAGAGAGAGAGAGAGAGAAAGACGCGGCAGTGAGCGCGCTAAACGGCCACCACGTGCCTTCTCGCGCCATGACATTGGTTCTCTTTGCGGGACAGCGTCCCACGTCACGAGAAGAACGCGCGGCGTTCAGCCGGCCGTCTCTCTCCCGAATATGATATGTCGCGGCGAGAGATAGATCTCGAACAGAGAGAGAGGGTGCTGCTTACGTTCTCTTCACCACCGGCGGATAGGTGACGTCGTCGTAAGCTACGAATCGACGACCGCTCCACGAGGCGACAACGATGTCGGCGGAGTCGTATGGTTGTTTACAACGGTCGCGTGTGCGACCTGTCAAACGTTGGGAATTCTCTCTCTCCCTCCCTCTCTTTCTCTCTCTGGTCGCGAGGGCTCGTCGTACGACCGGCGTCGTAGATCGACGAGTCGCGGGAAGGAGGAGAGAGAGATCGCACGTGCCGCGACGACGTGAGGATCTCCTCGGAGGGAAGACGTTGCGCGTCCATGCGGCGTGAGCTCTCCCGCGCGCGTCGTCTTTCCTCGCGACGCCGCGGCACGATCGCAAAGAGGAAATAAATTACGGTACTCACCGGCGTGCGCCGACTGTTCCCCGGTCGCGTCGTCCGTGTCGTCTCGCTCGTCTTTCGACGCTGCTGCTTCCCCGTGTCTCCTCTGACGCGGTTCTCTTTCTGACAGATAAACAGCGCGAAGTCCTTCCGTACGCTGTGTGCGCCAACATCAGACGGATTGACAGTCGGCAGTCAGAGTGACAGGCAGGTGCGCATGTCGATGCGCGTCGGCAAACCGTCGTCGTTCTATCGCCACCGTAGCGTCATCTGCATTATCATACACCGAAAGTCAGAGAGGAAACTTCGCCGGAGTGTGTCGATAAGTTCCGCCGCGAGCGTAACCTCTTCTCTACCGCGAATCCACTTTCATTCGCTCGAATATGTCCATTGGCATACTCAGTTTGTAATAATCGCTCACATTGACGATCATGAGGAAGAACGCGAATACCCGCATCACCGGGACAAACGTTATTTTGGTGCCGTATCAGAAGAAGCATGTCGCAAAGTACGTATTGTTGTGTTACCTGTACAAACCACGCGTTTTACACGCAGAGACTGAATTCGAACGTTGTGACGCGAGAAACATACATTGGACGTTACAATTCAAAGCGGTCGATTCTTTGAGAACGGTCTCATTACTAATGCAATGTGTTATTTTTTTCTCGACATATCCCACACAAGTTTAGATTTATCATATATGTAGCAGTCATTATTACCATATGCCACAGTACTAGTTACAATATATTAAATTATATCACTAAATTATATCAATTATATACTCATATCTCTCTCTCTCTCTCTCTCTCTATCGAGTGAACTTTGCATTATTCAACAATTTGTGCAATGTTCTGTTCCAAAAAAATTATTCTTTTGTCAATGCAATATAGATGTAATAACGACAATGTCACTCAGGTATCACGAATGGATGAAATGTCCAATGCTGCGGTATCTGACAGGCTCCGAACCTTTGACTTTGGAAGAGGAGTTTGAAATGCAAATACACTGGCTCGAGGACGAAGACAGTAATTATTCGCAGTTAATTTCATTCAAGTCGCACGAGATAGCTTAGCTTCGTGATTTTACTTGACGTTGCAGAATGCACTTTCATTATCTTGGATAAACATGTCTTCGACTCCACTGAAAGTGAAGCAGGTATAACGATAGATTACACTGCGTGATATCCGTTTCTCCATAAACGATCCGTTTCAGAGGCCATGATAGGGGACACAAATTTATTTTTTAACGATCCGCAAGAACCGCACATTGCCGAAGTAGAAATCATGATAGCCGACGAGGCTAGTCGAGGCAAGAAGCGAGGTTGGGAGTCTTGCATTCTTATGATACAATATGGTAAATTTATCCATGAAATAACCTTGTTGCACTATTCCTTTCATATTCATTCGTGTCTATTAAAACAGGCGTTGAAAGATTGGGTGTCAGCGGGTTTCGTGCAAAGATCAAATTAGACAATGCACTGAGCATAAAAATGTTCGAGAAACTTGGCTTTCAAGAAGTAGACAGAAGCCAAGTTTTCCAGGAGATTACTCTTGAGAAGAGAGTATCTCTCGACTGGACGAATCGGTTCTTATCTCTTCAATTGCAGTCCATCGCGCCCGATTCAAACCAATCAGTCGTCAGAGTTATATCAAATCATTAATTTATATATATTTGTCATTGTATATAATTTCTTGATAATATAAAGTGTAGAAAAAAAAACTCGAGTGTTTCTCTCACACATTGCGATTTGGTGGTAACACCGGTATCAGGATATTCCGCGTGTTGATTAACACAATTGACGTAGTTAGGTCGTGATTGAAAGTTATTGGGATTAAAGCGGTTTAGTGTCACGAGCAGTTTCTATGTCAGTATTAACGTTACCCTTCAACGTGACACACCATCCATTTGGCTTTTCGGTCGATCTTAATACATCGAATATAGCATATCGAAAGCGTAAAAGTGTTAATACTCAGTCAGTTGGGCAACACAAAACAAAGTATGCTGTCGACGAGAGCTTTTAAAATAGCTAACGCGATGCGGAAGAGACCGTTATTGTTTAATTCGATGGTGTACGGTTTCTTCTACACGAGCGCCGAGTTTATTCGACAGAATTTCAGTAAGATGTCCAAGGTGAAAGGTTCACTCTTAATGCAGACTCTCCGTATCGAAAAAGCGTACTTTTTCAATTTCTTCGACTGAAATTCAGCAACGAAAAGTACAGCGAAATTTGTGACCTTTCATTCATTTAGAGTGAATTTTATATTCTGTATCATCGAGTGAATATTTTTATTCGAAATCGATGTGTGAATCTAATGCGCTTCACCGTTATGGACAGAAAAACGTTCATTTTTGTATGGATTAATAATCTATGCCGAGTCACAATTAAATGTTCGCTTTTGTGCGATTTCGAGTGGGGGAATATTTAATATTTCGAGCAAATTCCCACAACGTTAGCAGTGAGATTTCACTCCAAGAAGTTCAGAGAGTACGAACATTGCTTGCCGAATATTGCCCGTGTGTGTAATTTAAATATAAATGAAGTACAATATATATATATATATATATTGTAAACGCAGCAATCGATCGTCGAAGAGCCTGAAACTTTCGTCAGTACCAAGGGGCCGATATTGATGCAGATACAAAAACTTTGCGAGATGTTGCATCTTGTGGATGAGAAGAAAGATACCGCGATGCAATCGGCGGATTATAATTGGCCGCAATTGAGGAGATACGCCGTTTACGGTTGCTTCTTAGCAGGGCCTGTGCTACACGGATGGTATTTTCCGCGGTCATGTTCATTGAATCGGCACAAAAAGCATTTAATCATTCCGTGATGAATTTCTTTTTTTTTTTTATGAATCAACACGGACGCTACTAATGGCAGGTACAAGTGGCTCGACACGTTCTATAGCGGCAAGTCCACGAGGATCGTGCTAAGAAAGCTCTTTGCGGATCAATTTATCTTTACACCGCAGTTACTCGTCCTGTTTTTCACCAGTTTGTGCTCTTTCGCGCCATTTTTGCATGCGTTCGAACCGATTTTACGCGACGAATCACGATTCGTTTTACACGCGATCTTGCAGGTATGAGTTTGATGGAAGCCAAGTCGGACATTCTCAGGGAATGCAGAATGAAGTTTCTGCACACCTTTCAGGTTTGTTATACGACGCTTAAAACAACTCTAACAGATCGAAGTTATAACAATATATGCATACCTACATGCTTGGTATTTTTAGACCTCCTGTGAATTTTGGCTGCCGGTGCAACTCGTGAACTTTCTGCTAGTTCCTGCATCATTACGAGTGACGTATGTAAGCGTTGCCAGCTTCTGCTGGGTCAATATCTTGTGTTACTTAAAGAATATACCTGTTGTCGAATGCATCGAGGACAAGGTCGAACGGTGAAGTTTCACACACGTCACGAATATATGTATATATATGAAAGAAAAAATAATGATAAATTCAAGTAACGTTAAATATAATTACGTATATATAGCAAATTTGTTATTATGTACTTTCGTGTTATATACCTGAACAAATCCTACAAATATTCGTCAACGAGTGAGAGATCCCTCGATTATTACTTGGTCACGATAGAATAATCATGTTGTTTGCTCTTCTGTCGACATGAAACACATATCAAGAAATACCAAAACAATGTTTAATCCATGATTGGCACATGTGTAAAAACAGTTCGACTTTCAGTGTTTCTGACTTTTCGGTAAATGTGTTTTTGTTTATGGTAGCCTTATCCACACACACACACACACACACACACACACACACACACACACACACACAAAGCGATACTTCGTGTTGTACACAGTATTCAACATAGTGTTTTCCTTTCGAGGAAATAACGAGAATGAGAAGTGATAGGCCCTCAGAATTTATTGTTTATGTACAGTGTATCGCTATCACTCTTGCGGCCTTATATCGATCTTGGAAGTTTAAACGAATCTCAACTGAGAAAAATATATAAAAAAGGAGAGAGAGAGAATACTGCGAGAGAATTAACAAATAATCTTTGAGAAAAGTTCTCTATTCTAAACCAGCCTCGCCAGTTCGATAGATCGTTTGTGGAAGAGAGTTTTCCTCGGTCCGAACATTTACACTATCAGAGACAAGTATCACACGCAACGTTATTGCTAAGTAAAAATCCCTTGTATAATATTGTTACGATACTGTCCAAAAGCTACGTTTAGACAGTAAAGCGACACACAAGCATCTTCGCAACGCAAAAATGTCATCGAGGAGCGCGGTTGTGTGCTTGCAGTTTCCACTTTTTTTTCCCTGTTTTTTTTGTCAACAATCTTCGAGCAGTCTTATGCGTTATTCTATGTAAGCTACATTACCGTGCGCAGGTATATGAGTAAATACATGACTCAACGGCAACAGCACTCGGATGAGTAAATAATAGGCATAGCCGTGCGCGCATGCTGAGTCATATATTTGTCTATATCTCGACGATTCGATCGTACGATATTACCGATAATTAAGAAAGTCGTCTAAGGGGAATCCAGCCCTATCTCGTAGACGAAAATATATTCATCGAACCACTGGCTGTGCGCTTTCTTACGAGTCTCGCCGCTACTGTAAAACAGAAATCAACGTTCGTTCTCTCAACGGAATTCACCAACTGGGGCGCTTTATGCTACGAATTCGCTTACCGCTCGCGTCCTGTGGCGTTAGTGGCTTATCGATTACTTTTTGGATCACATTGATCCACTGCGACCTGTCGTCGTCGCTTTGCGCAGAGAGCAAATAAGTCCTGTCGGGTGTCTCGAGGGTGAATGAGAATCCTTGGTCCCTCGCGCCCGGCGGCACTCCCGTTTTCACGGCGAAACCCTCGGAACTGTGCCCCAGGAAGATCTCACCCTTCGGATGCGCATCCTGCAAACGAGAGGAAGACGATCCATTAGACGAAAAACATTCCAATTACTCTGTCTCGTAAGAAAAAAAAGAGCCTCCTAGAGCGTCCAATTGATTCGTCGCCCATTGTGTGCGAAAATCAAATGTCTTCAGACAACACAAACTTGTAAAAGATCGGTCTCTCAGAGACGTTCTTTTTTTTTTCTCAAAGTTTCACTGTAGCCGAGCGTACATATACGAACCATGGGATCATCGTGATACATGAGTTTTCTGCCGTCCAATGTGAACCACCTCTTCTTGTAAGCGTCTGTATGCCTGGGTCCGGTCTTCCACAGGAAACCCTCGCGCGGAAAATCCCTCGTTAGCTGCGACAGCAGCTCGTTTTCGCTCGCGCCTGGATACGCCACCTGCAAGCGGTGCAGCTTTGCGCATCTGATGGCGAGATACCAATTCGTGATCACTTCCGGATCCTCATGGTACACGTAGATATGTCTCGTGGTGCCGTCTTTCATAAACGACAGCTGAAGACTGTTCTGATTGCCTGTCTTGGTTGGTACGAACGCCACATTCAACTCCGATATCCTCAAGATGGCTTTGGGTTCCTAGAGTCAGAAATTATGCGACCGATATACTACATATCGTTGCGCCTATCCGACAATTTGTAACAATTCCTCCACCAAGGTACCTTGTTCTCTTTAACGTGATACTTGAGAGTATCCTCCGCCTCGCAGAGCACAAATTTTCGCGGGTGGTAACGCGAGTCCTCCTTGCCGCGCTTCATCAGGAATCCTTCCATAAAACCTGACACATAGTGATTCTGTCTTTCGGGATGGCAAAACTCCTCCCTCTCATATTTGGCTCTTATCCACTGTTCGACTAAAACTCTAACGATAATGAAGAATTAATCGATTTAGAATGACACATTTAGAATATGAAAAGAAATTGCGGTTTGTTGTAATCTCTGCTAGCTAGCTGATAAGAGGCTAAAACAGGAAAACCGCTTGATAAAACTTACTGCGGAGCGTCTGGGCTTGGTCTACGATAGCACGAGGGTACGCGTTCCTCATAGTGCAGTCTAGCCGCGGCATTGCCCACTTCTCGCATCCTATTCACCTGGGAATCCTCCCATCTGTCTAGCTTCAAGTGCTTCACCTTTGAGATGTGTGCTCCCATTGATCTGTGCACACCGGCGCATCTTTTGCAGACGAATATGCCTATGTTGTAAGACGCCCATTCCGGGTCTGAAACACAAAGACGTTGAATTGCAAACATACGTACGTGAGCGAGAGGAGCTGTGCTCGGTGAACACTTTGACGAAACAACGTTGAGCGATTCCGCGTTATACTATTGCAATATAAAAACAAACATTCCGGACGTCGCGACGGTTGTCGAGAGGTTAAAATCGCGGCGGCGTATACGCTACGCTCGTCCGTATCGGCTGAAAACGAAAAGAACATATGGGGGAACCTTTTTCTTATACGAAACGCACTCACTCTTGGCCCCACAGTCCGCGCACACGTTATTCCCAGGCTTTTTCAGGAGTTCCGCCAACAACTTCTCGTTCGCGTCCGCCATCTTAAAACATTGACAAACGACGATGTTCATACACCGTGGACGTACGCGGCGTTTCCTTTTTGACGGCCGCCACCGTCGCCTGCCTAACGTGAGAAATAATCTACGGAGTCAACCAATCCCGGCAAGTCGATTTTTATCGGTCGGTAGTTAAACCGAACATTTATTCGTGTTGGGAAAGAATGAAGGCTTACGTATGACCGGTTATTTAAACATATATTTATTTATTAACGGTAAGTGTGTACCTTGTTGAGAAAATATCACTACGAAAGAGCAATAGTACATCATATGGTAATAATATATTGGTAATATTTTAGATATCGAAGGTGTTCCCAAATCACCCAGAATGCATCCAGGATGCCCTGAAGAGTGTCCCGGGACATATATGTTACTCTTTTGAAAGTGAAAGACAACTAACTGTTGAGCCACACATTTCAAAGGGAAAAAGATCACTCGGGTGAGTAAAACTGAAGATCCGTCTGATCTGCCGTTGAGTTGTGCTACGTTTTTTTTTATCCAAGACTGTAGCGACTCGTAGGCACAGGACCGTGAAAAGATTTGTTGCACCTAATCAATTTGAAACATAGCTAGTAATAAAGCTATTCAGCATTGCGCAAATTCTCAAAAAAAAAGTGTCGCAGGTAGAAGAAGAAAGTGAGCTTGGTGTTCTTTTTATTCCGGCTGGACAATAGAGATTCTAAAAAGATGTAAAACCATTGCTTCGAAAAAAAATATAATTTTTCATATTTTCGCTATCTTTGACACAACAGCTATTGAAAAAATGTTGATTATAAAAGTCAATGACGTACTCTATAATAAAAATATAAGAAATTTAGGACCGATTGCCTCTTCTTGGTAAGATTCGCCCGACAGGTATTTAATAAGTAAGCATCAATGACTGTTGTTACTGGTCTGTCCAATATGTGAATCAAAAAATTGGAACAATCGACAGATAACATTTTTTTGTTCAATCCTTTTTAGAGTTTGACTAAATAACTCGTTATTTTTATGTCCGCTATTTTTACTAGTTCCAAAGGTCACTACTCGTAGATTATGACCGAAATAAGTATAGTTTCAAGAGTTTTCACCAAACTCTGATTGAATCGCTGAATAATAATTTTTCAACACCAATTTTTCCACTTGCTGTTTGACAATAATCGGAAAATTCATAATTTCTATATGTGCTAGCAAGTAACGCTTGAGAAAGATTGGTAGCGATTTTGAATCGTCAATTAGCTTAATCGGACTTTGTTCAATGAAAGCAAACAATAACCCAAAGTACGGTTTTTTAAAATGCTATATTGGCCGGACCCCGTTAGACGCCTCTTTTACCTGCGAACGATACCACTGCAGGTCAACAAGTTACCTTCATATTCAAATTGTAAGATTCAAAGAATCCCCGAGAAGTACACGTGAGAAATTTTACTAATGGAAAGAGTGAGTTATTGCTTATAACATGAGAAAAGAGCATCACTGTTTTAAGCCTGTCGATAAATGTGTATCATCATGAAGATTAATTAATAAATACTGCTTTGCTACCAGTTTCGTGCTGACGTATTGATCTTTTACGAGAGACCGACAATGTCACATTTATACGTGACGTTTTTCACTCGTGTCCACAAATTCGGTCTGTTTGATAAAAGTAATACGATGGCCTGTGGTTTTACTACGCGATAACAAATGTGTTCGATTAATTTATTTAATTCAAAATAAAGTAGAATTTGGAAAAGTCAAGCTCTATAAATCATGTTGCAGTGCTGAAACGATGAAATTTACGCGATCGATCAGTTTGACTCTATGCAAATACAATGCACAATTTACGCGTGCAACACGATACTTTCTATATCGTTCCACCTATAGAATCGTTCAAAAGAGTTATCCTCCGGTCGCTCTCTATTTCCGCCGAGGAAACGCTGTTGTTTATTTAATCGAGATCTCCTTGAGGGTAAAATTAAATTTAACGACGCGTATCTCTGGAGCACGCCGTATGATGCAATGGTTTTTATCTTTTCCTTCGACGGCGGAGTGGGGGCGACTCGATTGCTGAAATAGTTGCGACCGGCTGCAACGGCGGGTAGTCGCCGTTCGATCGGTGAGTGTGTGTGCACGCGCGGCACGTGACATATCATACCGAATTACAGAGTAATTGGAGAAGATTCGCGAGCAGTCAGTGGTAGTCATCGTGTCAGTCTGTAGTTGCTCGTGTTAAGCTTCGTCTCGGGAGTGTTGCTCCGTTTTTCTTCTTCGCGCCGCCTGGTACCGTCCTCGCTTATTCAGTTTCCACGCGAAACTCATTCGCGAGTAATCGCGCGAAAATGCGACACGAATCAACGTCGCGACGCCTGCGCGCGAAATATATTGCGCTCGAGCGTCCTTTGTTTTCTCCCTCCGTCACTTTCTATTTTCACTTTTTCTTTCCAAATCTGACGTTCCGTCTAAAAGTCGAACGATTTCATCTCATTCTTTCGATACACGTCTCGCTAAGAACTCGCAAAGAACGTGAGGAAACGACTCATATCCGCGACAGCATCGTAATTCGAAAGATAATGATTTATTATTCATTAATAGAGCGTGCGATCTTACATGTAACAAACAAAAGGGGAGATATATTTTTCTTTCGAAAGAAACACTACCGCTTTTATATCAAGACGGATTATATGTTTTGGCGCGTTCTCTTGAAATATTTACTCGCGTAGCAAATACACTTCTTTCGTATTTTGTTCAATGGTACACCGTCTCCGTGCTCAAATATTTAATTATTTGAGAAACAATCGCACGATATTAGACTTCCCGCTGTCTCGCTTCTCTTGTGTTCGAAAAAAGAAAAGAGATTATCTATCTATTGAACATCATTAAGTAACGTGTCGCGCTTATTTTCACTGAAAAGCTAAAGTAATGATCAAGTTAATACGGTAAAATATATAATTCCGGAAGTTTCTTGTCTCGTTTATTTCGCGTTGGCACTTACGACAGTGAATCGGTCGTCACGCGTTCGCACGAAATTATTAGATAGATAAAATGAAGAAAATATCGTGATACACATTTGCCTTGTCACTCTTGCGTTTCCCTCGCGCAACCAAAGTTCGCGATCGAGAAAGTTAGCGGAGAAATCTATCTGTAAGATAATTAATCCAATAAACGATGCGGCTGTTCTCTTTTGCGTAGATCAGAATCTGTCGCGTTGAAGACATAATGCTCACTCGTCTGTATAAATACTTTACGGAAGGCCGTGATGACTTGGACGAGAGGATCGGCATGACCGAGAAACAAAAGAAATTAGTGCAGAACACATGGGCCATTATTCGCAAAGACGAAGTGTCGTCTGGAATCGCCGTCATGTCCGCGTGAGTCGATTCACAATATCTCTTTGTTCATTTCGTCTCTTGCGCAATAGGATGCAGACTAAATCGAGGATAGCCGTGAAAAAAAATGCTTCATTTCATTACAAATTGTGTGATGAATTGGAACCAATCTTCTTTTGTTGTAGAGAAAATAGTAGCAACAATACGCGTACAAAATGGTACAATTAGCTATCTAATTAAACAAAAAAATAGCTTCAGTTATAGTCGCGAATATCAACCATCCTCGTAGATGCCGAGTAAAATGCTATCGACGAAGCGAATGGAATTTTGTTCTCGCACTTCCGTAGTGCTACTTATTTTACTGTTATGGCACGATATGTAGAATCATGAATATAATTTTATCAAGTGTCTATATCATTTTAGCGGGATTAGTCATTTTTTCTCTGTGTTGATTACCATCGGAATTCCATTCAGATATTCGTACGGCGTATCTTCGCGCACCTTCAAGGTGCTTCCGCATTCTGACTGGTTGATAATTTGTCTAATGAATCGTCGGTACATTTATACACTCGCGCGTCGTCGAGAATCCATGTCACGTTCGCGGCCGCTCATCAGCAAACGCGCTCGCGTCCTCTCCTCGTGAAAATCGTTTTCGAGTCGCATCGCAAAAGTCACGGCAGGATGCACGCGTTATGAAAATTTCAACGCCGACACCTGCGGAGTGACGCGTCGTTTCGTAATTTAGCAGACTTATCGGTTTATACTTTTGCCTTTAAAAGGCCGTCTTTTTGCAATTGATGACAAATCACTGTCGATACAATAAAGGAAAAAACAAAAAGAGAAATAAAGAAATGATAATTTAGACAAAGATTGAGGGCATAAAACATTGTCTTTAAAATTAGCCGTTTTGCTAAAGCTCTTACATGTCTACGGTATATACTTGAATGCCATCGATCGGCGACGTTGCGGTCGGAACTCGCCAATTTTGAAAGACGCGTTTCTTCGGACTTGTTTGTCCGAATGGCGAGACCGTCGTTCGGATTAAATTTCTTTTAATCGACTGAAACGTATCGATTGAGCAATCGCCGTATGCCCGATCGGAAGAAATTGAATCCGATGAAGTCATCGTTATCGCTGATCTGACGCAACATTGATTCGGACAAACGAGTCAGAAGAAACGTCTTTCACGAATTGACGAGTTCCGATCGCGGCGTCGATGGCATTCAAGTATATATCCCGAATATACGAAAGCAGAATGGCTAGCTTATGCTTTAAAAACGATATCCTCAATTTTCGTCTAAATTATCATTTCTTTACTTTTTTTATTATACAGCGGTTTATCATCAATCGAAAAAGGAATGGCTTTTTAGACAACCATTGTGCGTTACTTAAAGGCACAAAACATAAACCGAAAGTGAGCCATTCTGCTCAAGGCCATAATTTGAATTGCGCGACAAGCGGCTTCGGCGAGAAACGGTCCGAGTGACGAAACATTTTCATTCGTCTTTAAAGCGTACTTCCTTCAGTAACTGACATGAAATGTTCACGGTAGACGCTTGTATCAAAGTTGCTCGCAAGAGAAATATTTACCGCTTTCATTCTAACAAGACATTGTTCAACATCTTTCTTTGCAGTCTTTTCACACGACACCCGGAGTACCAAAACGAATTCAAGCTGTTCAAGGGCATACCTTTCGACGAACTGTCGAAGAACAAAAGGTTTCAGGCTCACTGTGCCAATATTATAGGGACGTTGAGCGGCACAATCGATCATATCCACGACCCGGAGCTAATGGAGGCGGGCCTGCTCACTCTTGCCGAAAGGCACAAGGCTCGAGGGCAAACGCGAGAGCAATTTCAAGTAAACAAATTCCTTTTATCGCATGTCCTTTTTATCACGGCCGCTACCGCGCTAGAGAGATGGTAATAATTATGAATAATAAATTTAACGTTATACATTGTACCAACAGAAAGATACAATCAATAATAAATACTAGTATTTATTATGACGAAAATTTACTTTCACGGTGCAAAGCACATATCTTTCAATTGTATGTGCGAAAAGATTTCGACTGACTTGGCAAATACACGCAGGTAGCGGGTGTGCTAAAAAGGGCTGTACCTGTCTTTCGATTTTTGCTACGAGCCGCATTAAGGAAAAACACGTCTGTTAAGAAGATTATTCAAAAGGTCATTCAAATTTTTAAACGAGATTTCATACGATCAGGTGCCACAGGTTGAGTTATCGGCGGCCACTTTAATCCTTTCGCAAGAAAAAGCCATCATTGTGGCCTTCCGCGGTACTGCCTTTATATACTTCCCTCGTATACTCGGAGTCCATACACGATTTGAATATTTTCTTCTTTTTTTTTTTTCAATGCAGTTTGCACGGAATTCAGCTGGTCAGCTCTGGTGGTTCAACGAGAGAGAATTTAACTTCTGCACTGAGAATAAAAAAAAAACAGTTGAATCAACAAGATTGGCGCGGTCAATCTCTTTTTTAAACTTTTTTAAACCTCTTTTTAAAAATTGTGTCCACTGAACAAATTACGCATTGGCGCATCAATACGTTGCGTTGATATAGTTGTCGATCAAGTCGCAATCGTCCAATCGATTGATAATTCATTACAGTAACCGTATAATTTGTTCAGTGGACTAAATGTTGTGCTTAAAAAAATTTTATTCTTTTAAGCGAAGTTTCGTTGTTTCTAACATTTTTTTTCTCAGTATGGGAATTAAAAATAAGTTTAAATCATATGGAAACCAAGTGTACGAATGACCACTACAGTGTGTGTGTGTAAAAATTATCTTTCCAGAACTTGAGGCATGTATTGGAGGACCTCTACCCGTCCGTTTTTGGGAAACAATACACGCCGGAAGTGCAAGAGGCATGGAAAAAAATGTTCGACTACATGTTTCCGATATTCTATCGGGTTTTTAATGGTTAAAATCGCACGACTGAGTTAATGCAATTATGCGATTGGAATAAGTCGCGACGCGCATGTATATATGTCACTTTTTTTTTTTGAAGATCTTCGAATCTTCCGAAAAGATGACAATATTCTTCGTAATGTAAGTTCTCTTTTGAATTTTACGCGCTTCTCCCCGCGTAGAAACGTATGCAGTCGGCTTGGGTCAAAAGCTAGCAGCTAGCTAGTATGGGCTAGATTAAATTTTCTAGCTCATTACTAGTTCGTTTTTGGCTAAATTATTATTCACACTAAAATGTAGAATCAGTTTTATAATTTAACTATTACATTACGAAATATGATGGAATAGATGATACTCTCTATTATAAAATTTATAATCTAGATCTGCTATATATCCATCACTAACCCGTTTAAAAGTGAAGTAGCGAATCAAAATTGAGGGTACGTTATTCCATAAAGATCTTAAAAAAAGTAAAAATGAGCGTTACATTACTGCCTGATAACTAGTTGGGATTTTTCATCTCGTAATTGTAATTGTTCTTTTGTTTAATTATTCAACTAATTTACTTATCTAGCCATTAGGAGAAATGAGCGTTACGTTACTGATTAACAACGACACAAATTTATTATTTTCATCAGGACTCCATCCAGATAGCATAAACTTGTAAAAATGTCTTAAAAATATCCAAAAGATTTTTCTTTTTATACTGACAACATTGTACATATTTACAAATATAAGAACGTACTGTACATCAAACATAACATACACTATGTCCCTGACTTGATGACATTTTGTTTTTGGAATGACAATGATTGATTAATAAAACGAAGATGAGAAATATGATAAATTTTACTGTAAGAAAAAACCCGAAAAAAATGCAGGAAAAATTAAACGACGTGATGAGCAGCTTAACGATTAACGTGACAATTTCCGTTATATTAGCGCATTAAGAAAAGTATGTTTCTCTATTCGAGAGAGTATTAAACTGTCGCGCAAAGCAAAAAAAGGTATGCAATATCTATTCAGCACGAAAATAGTAAAAATTTGTTAAGTATTGTCGATATTATGTATGCATGCGCTATTAGGTTGAATCAGAAGTCTTTTTTTCCCACAGAATAGATGTTTCTCTCGTCAACATATTTCAAAAATACTTAGCACTTGTTCAGTGTCAATTAAAAATTAAGTAATCTCGGCCCTGCCAATAGCAAGAATGTGAAGTTAATCGCGTTTTGTTATTCCATTTATCATTTACATCCGAACGCTTAACCGCGAAACGTGTCAATCGGTCATTAGTACATTTCAGTGAATTATATGTCATTAATATCTGACGAAATAACAATGCCGCTCGGAATAACACGGAGATTATCGGAGCGGAGCTAGAAATGAATACCAACGCGTCCAGTCCTCTTATCTTATCAGGCGAGAGAACCTTTGAGCAAACGATGACGTTACACCGATACAATTTATATTGAAGCAATATATTTCAGGACGCCAAACGATCTCCTTGTCGCTATACGTTATCGGAGGGATCATAATCGCGACTATATTATTGACCTGTTGCTGCACGCTGTTCGTGAGGAATAAATGCGCGAGACTCTTTGCTAAACTCACAGGCAAAAGGAAGAAGGAGTCAGTATTCAGACATTTCCGATTTTGGTTCTACCACAGTCCCCCGATTCTTTTCTTAAGCTTGAAATAGGCGGATAGAGATCATTATACCGGGTTCTTGTTCACAAGAAGAGACTCGTCGATTCTTTTTCACTAGCGCGAAGCAATTGAACGATTAACACGTTGATTATCGCCTTGATTTCCGTTGATTGTGCCAACTAACTGACAATTGAACCGATATATAAACGTAATTCGAGGCTTGCATACAACCGATTTTTCACATGCAATTGTATAGCACAGCACCGATGATCGTCACGGGATTCAACGTGTTAATTACTGCGTGAACGTGTTTTGCACGTTTATATCTGTTAATTATTAGCCGCGACACATTCGCAGAATGCAATCATGTCCTTCTCAAAAAAATACGTTTAGAAAGTATTTCCTCTCCGACATTGAGGGAGGACGGAGGAAAAGGGCCGCCGTGAGAGAATTAAGGAAAAAGAAAAAAAAGGAAAGAGATCCTGCGCCGCGAGACCTCACCGGTGCCGACACGGAGCCTATTGTTCCGCAACCGGAAAAACCGGAAAGACAAGAGGACGAATCGCCGATCGCGTGTTACAAGTGTTATAGAAAGAAGCAGAGACGAAAGAGACTCAAGAGGCAGATACGGCGATAACGTTGGAAAAAGGGAGTGGACGAAGCACTCGCGATGAAGCACTTTTTTTCTAGTAATTACGGCTCTTGTCATGGCCATTTGATTAATAATCGTCGGAAGTACATGCTCAACATTCTTGCGAAATACTTGCGAAGTAAAATATTATTTTTATAAAATGATACGATCGATCGTGCAAGCGGGTTTCTACCATATTCTTGAAACGTAACAATCATTGAATAGCTGCAAATACATGCTTCTGTCGTGTTAATTTTACAACTGTTTATTGATTATCAGAACAAAAGGAAAGTTTTCCTAATATTTTATAACACATGTGCTTTGTTGTTGCACCAATGCTGTTTGACGGACGTGTCTTTTTATTTCCATGTACTTGGCAAGAATTTTCAACGTGTACTTTCTCGCTTCCATTGATTAACAAGATAACCGCGGCGAGGAGCCAGCAAGAGCTGTAAAGAAAAACGAATAAAAGAAAAAGAAGAAAACGAGAAACGATGTTTTTTTTTTTTCATACGTACGATTCGTTTATTAACGGCATTCACAACCGGTAACCTCTCTCGTCTCGAGGAAAATGCAATCTCGGGTGATCGATTTTGTTACGTATGTTTTAATTTATCTGGCAATTAAACATGTTGACGGCACGATCGACGTGAATCTGAGTGAGCTGGAGTATCTCGCGGCGCGATTGGATACGTTTGAGTGTCGACGTTTAATCGCCGCGCTTCATTACGCTAGTTACGACCTGCCTCAGAACTTGGCCGCTGCTGGTAAAATGTTTCACGATTTCTTCTGGTAGAGTCACTCCGCGACGAGATAATATTAAAAACCTTCTGGTTCTCGGCGAAACATCTGCAAATGAACTCAAGACGATCTTTAATACAAGATCCGACTATACTGACCTTAAGCGCCATATTGGCCCACTAAGGCCCGATTTCATCAACATAGGTTAATCAAATCGGTCGATTAAATTCAATTTGTTCAGTGAATCTGACCAATCCATCTAACAATGATGCGATTGGAAGAGCTGAATTTAATCGATTGATATGATTAAGTTATGAAACCGGACCGTAGAAGAATTAGTAGTTGAGTCGGCCTTCAGGTCTGTTCTACAATACACTGTACATCGGAACGCAGCCGATGGTCCATTGAGAAAACTCGTTCTCGAAAAATCAATTCTCTCCGATACGATTTTAAAGCGTAAGAGAGAATTCACAGAAAAGCAGCAGCCACTCGGAACTCGCGCTGGTAGTAGATAAAGCAGAAACTGCGAGTTCTGATTGGCTGTTACTTCTCTGTTTTCCTATCAAGGTATGAATTCTCCCCAAGTGTTGCACCTTCAATTTTCATCATTTCCTCCCGAACTGGAATACAGTAGCGTCTCGTAACGGAGATTTTGGAACTCTGGATAAAAGTAACAACCGGGACTCAAACCCTATTTTAACCAAGACTCGAACCACTAGTTCAACTAATTCCCACTCGGCACCGTTAGATGGCGCTACATAATTTATTCGAATTTTTTCGCGCGTCATGTCGCTATGTGTCATCATGCAACCGGCGTATTTTATCGGATTTTATTCGCATATCGCAATTTATGTTCAATGAATTGCATATATTTCCGTTGTGGGCCTCCGCTATTCTCGATGAAAAATCGAGCAGATAATACGACAAGTCAGACGTTTTATTTTATTTTCAAAACGCACAGCAAATCTCTTTATTATACGACTCAACGGTACGACGTACTTTTATATAATTGTAGTTCAATTTACGTACGTAGATTATTAGTAATTATGACTGATTGGTTACTGAATCGTCTAACGCTGAATTACTTTACGCCTCGGTACTTATCGTGTGGAAAAATTAGAGCGCAAAGTGGACGCAGAAATCCCATGCCTTCGTCATTTGTTGCACTGGAACGAACATCCCGCGGAAGGCAGGGGTAAAACGCACGCGGCACTCGCGCATCGTCTTCGTCAATTACACCGCGACGATCTTGCCGATTGGCTTGGTAAAACGGCCTTCAAACAACTGGGAAAGGATTTAAACGATGCTATCGTGCCGTCAGTCGACGAAGAAACTACCGCCATGTGAGCGCGTATTATTAATTATGCTTTGAGGAAAAATAGATATTCGTCGAAAGTTACTCACAAATTGAATCGATGTGTAATCAAAGTCGCGCGTTGACGAAAGAAATATTAAAACGCAGGTTTTCTGCAACGATCAAACCTACCGTTTGGGAAGAGGATCCTTGGCTGTCGATTGACACGATCCTTCTGGCGTTGGTGCTCGGACTGTTGGGAACCCTGTTCATTTTAATCGCGGCCATTATCATCCGCACAATTAGGGCTAAAGATAAAAAATAAGCGTTCCCTTTGCAATTTAACGTTTGTACGAGGATCGTTTTTGGCACATCTTAAGAACAAACTGGAAGCAAGGATTTACTAATGGCATTTACAAAATTACTTTTATATTTGTCTCTCTTGTAAAATTCTTAAAACACAACGCGTAATATTTACATACTTAAGAGTGTCTCTCAGGCATAAAATGTTGTGCAATTTTTCACGAGAGAACCGTTTCCATAATCATCAGCAATGATATCACTCGGGTTTAGCTCTGTATTTGTTTTCTCCGCTCAAAAAGAGAAAAAGAGTAAAACAAACGCATTTGTATTCCCGATAGAATTATGGAAATGGCCCGTGCGGAGGATCGTGTAAACATGGTATCGAAAACTATAACAATATGTTGTTACTTATACTAATAGTATAATTATGATGATAGTAATAAAATGTAATAATGACAATGATAATGGTGATGATACAATAACAATGATATTATAATAATAATATGGTGATAATATTAGTAAGAGCGATAGTAAATCGCAGCTGCTTGTGAACACAGCGACGACAAACAACAACTATAGCACACACCATTATCACGCGATTCAACGATACTACTCGACTAACGATATCTCTCCAAGTTGTTTTATCATTGTGGTTCCGCTTAACGATGGAAAGATTTCTCACAAATAAGAGATCTCAACTTTAAGTTTTCGCGTTGGATTATTTCTCGAGGCGAACGTGTGTATCTATTTAATTTTTTCGTCATTACAAAATAATAACGGTGTGCACGTTCGGTTCGTGAAACAACACGTTTCATCGTTCCAACGCGAAGAATTAACACACTGACTGACCCCGTGGTGACATCACAGGAAACTCTGTTCTTCCCAATGTCACTTTACAAATTGCATACGAAAGCCACAAAACAACTCGTGGTTGGCAGTTAATGTGTTAATTAACGGAACGGAAGAGATACGCGCGAGACAAAACGACATCCGTTCTTTTCTTTATTGTCAATAAAATAAATAACGTGATCCCTTGCAAAATTACATTTTCTCACAAACTATACAGACATGCGTGTGTCAAGTATTTACGTTTTAGAAAAATATACGACGCATTCGTGTATAACGTTTCGCGGCCGAGATCGCGAATCTTTCTCTTTCTTCAGGAACATATAAATTAAAATAAATATATATTTGCATAAAAAGGATAAAGTTGGTAACTCTGTCGGGATCGATAATACGTGAAATATTTATATGTATAAAAACGGACGATAAAATTTATAAATATATCATTTTCAGATATACGTTCGCGCACAAAAGAAGGAGGGTCAATAAGGCCGTTTTTGTGCCACCTTCCGATTTCCATTAAACGATTTCTTTCTGTATCATTAGGAATGTCAAAAATAATTGTTGGATAACAAGATACTATTTCTGCCTATACTATTTCCGATCTCTACTATTCCGAAATCTTGTGACAGTCTATTGTGAACATAATGATTGTATCGAGAATAGCCTAGATATCACAAAACACTTGCTATATGCGCGCAGTATAAAAAAGGCTTAAATATCATAGTGGCATATCTGGACTAGTAATTCATTATGACTTTATGGATCGAGTTTTTTCTCATTCAATGATTATTTTTGATATTCTTAATGATTATACAAAAAAATTGTTTAGTAGAAATCGGGAAGGGGCACAGAAACGGCCTTCTGATTTTTTCCTTTCTCTATTGCAAAACGAGATGCGTTTACAGAAATGTGATTTATAATCGATTATGGCAGTACAGATTATAGATACACTGTGACTGTGTCGGGAAGATGTAATATATATGTGTATATATATGTAACATATATATCACATTTTCGCAGTAGATTGACTTTTACACTCTTAAATTACATGTTGAACGTCGCGAATGAATGTCCGAATTTCATCTGCGATGGCCATATTGCGCGTTACGCGAATACAACTTGGCAGGATAAATTATCATGTTTATGTATGTGAGGTAATCCACTTGATGTATGTTGAATTTATCGTGGATTACCTCGACAGTCCTATTCAATGTCTTTTTTCGAGATTTCATCTTCTTTCCTCGCAAACAAATTGATAAAATAAAATGTTATTAATTTAATAAAGTAACAATAATAATAATTCAATATTAATACAGAATAACAGTAGTAATAATGATAATAATGATATTATTATTATCATTATAAAAATAATGATATTTGTAACAATAGGAATAGCAGTAGTAGTAACAATAGTAGTAGTAATAGTGGTAGAAGGAGTAATAGTAGGAATGACAGTTGCAATAGTTGTAGTAGCGGCAGAAATAGTAGTAATCGCAGCAGCGGTAATAGAAGAAAAATAGTATTAGTAGAGTAGAAAATAGAAATAGCATAAGAATATGCTAATAATTATCGTAATAATGATAATTATCATAGTAATATCTTGCAAACAGGTCGATTGACAAGAAAATAAATTAATGGGAGTCGAACGATCGATCCAAGAAAAAAAAAATTGCGAGATGAATTTGCACGATCGTAATGTTATCGAGTGTGCTCGATATTCGGGCAGGTTATAAATATTTCCTGGATATATTCCCGATACGTTCTACACATATATGTACAACAACGTGCATGCGGGTCATTACACGCGCACTTATATATTAACAAATTGCCACGATACAGGAAACGTATGGCGCGCGTCGAGACCAATTAGAGCCCTAAATTCGAGTGCTTCGATTTTTCCGATCCGTATATACACGCAAACGACAGGAAAACATTCTCAGTCGTGGTAACAGAGTACAATTGTAGGAAATGTCGACGTGTTAATCGTTCCTGAATCACAGACGACTAAAGATCGAGTGGTTCTTCTTATCGAACTACGCTGGACATCCACCGATCATCCTTACTTCCAACAAATCAAATTTGCTCGCTCTAATCATTTCTGACGACGCATTCGTTCGTCAAAGTTTGAACAATATTTTACAGCGAACGAAAATTTGATGAAAATAATGGCTTCCTATCGACGAACATTTTACACGAGAGAATGTCGTTTACCAACTTATCGTGAAATTTGATGTTGCGCGGTAGGTCTCGAAAATATCGTATAATCTAAAACGCGATAATCTTCCTCTTCTCCCTCTCCCGCGATACCAGTTTTGATCATTACAGCGCGACGTTTTCGAGGACGATCCATGACGATTCGTGGCGGTAATGAGCGAATCATCGTGAAAGTCCTTACGCAAGGCACTAATATGATGTATTCTATCACAGAGTCTTTAAACGCGTGTATCTCGTCGTTTAGATCGGAGTTTCCTTAGATTCTGCGCTCGAGATCCTCGTGGAGGAGACTGTTGTTGTTCGTCTCGTGGATCGATGCGGGCGAGGACTCGTCGGGTTGCTCGCCACCGCTCAATTCTAACTGACCGGTGCTGTCACCGCTGCTGGAGCCGCACTCGCCATCGACGAATCTGTCGAACAATTCCCTTCTTTCACTTTTGCACGAATCAACATTTCTCCCGTCTAATTCAGATCTCATACTCACGTGTACGGCCGCTCCTCGCCGCGCATCTCGCATATGACATTCGTCAGCGCCATTATATAATTTTTCGCCAGTGTGAGCGTTTCTATTTTGCTGAGCTTCCTCTCCATTTTTACGTGTGGTATTACCTCGCGCAATTGCTGCAACGGGACAAGTGGATTGAGAGCCTGTGAGTCATGACTCACGATAAACGTGTGTATTGAATCTGCACGAAAGTCGATACGTTTTCACTGACATGTATGTACACACACAAGCTCGATTTAGTCAAACGCTTATTAACCGGAATTTACCGCTGTCATGCGTTTTCTCCATATCCATTTGTGTTAAAACCAATTTATCATCAATTTAATTTAACGTATTACACATAATAAAGCGTGTCGAACGAACTTTCTCCCACAACTTCATTTGAGAATGAACATTGAACGTTTTGAAATTTATGATAACGAGAATTATGATTGGCGTAAAAAAGCGAGAAAGTCAATTTACCTCGAAGGCGTCGTTGAGAGAATGCATCCTCATTCTCTCTCTCTCGTTGCTCTCGAGCCTCCTCAGGTTCCTCTCGCGCGCGGAAATGCCGCTTTTCCGTCTCCTCGTGGTCGGTGGCGCGCCACCGCGATTTCGTCTCTTCGCCTGCTTTGGGCTCCTCTCGCTTCCGCTGCTGTCGCTCTCCTCGGCCACCTGTTTGATTGTGTTCGTTTCAGAATAGAATAATATTTATGTGCGTTGTTGGTAGATTTCTATCTTCCAAGAATGGAAATATCGTGCAGATCGGTAAACCGCGACTTCTCAATCCATTTATTACGCGAGAAACTGCGCTTGCAAGTGTCTTATAACATGCACTCTTATCGTTCTTCGTATCTTGAAAGGCCAATGTCCAAAATTTATAATTTAACGATAAGAGAGCGCAAAAGTTCAATGGAAGAACAGTCCTTCTCTTCAATATATTGACGCGTACTGACCATTAAACTTATCAGAAAATTAAATTTTCTTCATTGTAATTAATTTTAGTCGGAACAATAGTTCTTCTTTCAAACGACTGATTACATATTCGTACGTATAATGTGTGAACATTAAGTAAAACGTAATACTTCAATAGTATATTTCGACAATCTCTCGTATCGAAATGCACGTTTTTTCCCCTCTCCCCCGCACTTCTGTCCGACAATCCGTGAAGATGTTTGTCTAACCGATAAAGCCGCGCTATAGATAAAACGTTAGCAATTTCATTTGCCGCTGCATAACGCTGATAAAGTGATTATTTACCAACTCAATCGCCGATAATGAGATGTTGTACGATTATATCTTTACCGCGGGGCTCTGATTTGTTATCTGTTCACAGAATTTGTTCTCAACGTAATTCAACGATTCTTATGACGATCCGGTCAACATTTACGCCAATATGCATATCACCGCGCTTATAAATTTGGTCGCGAGTATCTTATCACATTTATCTGATGCATCCCTTCATTGGGACAATCTAACATTGTGATAAAAGCTCTCTCTTCTTCCCTTCTTCATAATGCTAAGCGCATGCAAATTAACGGTACGTTCGTCTCTTTTACACACGTATTTCGTATACAATGCGTTATTACGAGACGCATCTTTCTCGAAAATGGGTTAGGACACACGTCCCCTTCTATCGTCAATTTTTATAATCGTTCGCATTGTATTCGGTCAATAACTTTTGGTAGCTTGACGTATCAGTATGTTACATCCAAACACGACCCACACACTTGGGAAAGATTAGAAAATTAGTTTTGGTCTGGTAAATGCTTTTATTGAAGATTAGTGTACGAAATGTCGTCGTCAGCTGTGTGTGCAGCAGGGGAAAGAGAAAGGCGAGAGAATACCTCGACATGGTGGCGACCACGTTTCCCGGTAAGCGAGTCGACGGAGGCGTCGTCCAGATCGATATACATTTCCCGATCGTCTTGATCGCTGCCCGATAGCGCATCCAGTTTCCGCATTGTCCTAATCACAGCACAATCGATCTGTAACACATCGCGTGGTCGTCGTTAAAGATTCGTACTTCTGCCGTCGCGACAAGAGGGAAAGCGCTTCCTTCGATAATAAACGTGCGAACCTGTCTTTTTTCTTCTTTCCTGTCGGATGATCTTTATCTCGAAATCCGTGATATTTCCACATGTTCTGGATTTTTTTTTTTTACTTTATTTACTTGTTTATATAGGCAATATAAAGACGTTTGTTTATACAAAGACATACGAGACGCAAGGAACGTCGCGATTACTAACATCCGCACCACATCTTAGAACATGTAAAATTCGACATTTCTACGTATCGAAGGCAAAATACAGGGAATTTCCAAGTCATCGAGAAAGATTGTACGTTACTATACGATCTCGATGAAAGTAGCGTTGTAATTTTATTCATTGATTCTAAGATAACCACATCGCACGTCGTTATTAACGATATTTCTTGATATATCGGACATTTTAGCGCATGAGAAAGAGAGAAAATGAGGGAAGGGTGTTAATCAACGATGCCCTGAGACAAAGTCCTCTCGAGCGCTAAACAAATGCAAAGATTGTGACAAAAATTTAAATAAAAAATGCAAGTGAAAAAGCAGTGAGCTATAGAAAGACGGGGAAATGACATGCGCAAATGATGATAATGAAATCGGGATATCCCGTTTTTCCTGTTATATCTCAATGCGGAGAGATCCATCAGATCGGCTTGATCTTCGGAATTCAGTCAGAAGTAAGACGCAATTTCTTTGTCGTTCCTTTCGCGACAAACTTCTATGAAGTTAGATTTGTTATGTGGCTTTTTTCTTCCGTCGTTGTATCAGTGGGACGTATAAATTCGCCAACGACATGACGATTAGACAGAGAGCCAGCCTGTTATCTGATTGAATAACGCGCATACGTGGAGTTGCATAATTCATACATATATAGATGGATGCGCGATACGATCTGCACGATGCATTTTGCACGACGTTTGCGGGAAGAGCGTGCTTCCGACTTTACCGTCGTTTTCCGAAACATCACTCGTCAAACATTTGCGGAAAAGATATTCTCCCTTTTCTTTTTTGAAATTCGAATTTGAATAGAGATGTCAGACTCTAATCATTTTCTTTGGACACAATCACCACAACAGCTAAGGAAGAGGTTTGCAACAAGTATGCGCGCATACAGGCAACGAAAAAATGGGAGTGTAGGTAACACGCAGGATGTATTATAGAAATGTGTCTTACTTATTAATTCTTCCCTTTTTTTTCTAGTGATAATCTCCGCTATAACGTGTCTTTCATAAGCTTATCAGATTAAGAGTGTTGCTCTCACATCGCGAGTTATTTATTTAATATGTTAATTCGTCTTTAAGTCGTTAAGCGTATCAAATTTCCGGCGACTTAATGAGACATCGCTACATTGTGAATTATTAACAGAAGAAAATTGGGCGCGTTATAAAAAAAGGTTATTTATATTTGCATTCGTTTTACATTCGCTAATCTGTTCGCAGATCTCCTCAATATATCTAATCTTTTTAATAATATTACGTAATAATAATCTAATACTTAACAATATCCTCGTGGAATGAAATAAGCCACCGTTAATGCGAACCGGCGTTAATATTCATCAGCACTTATTTATATTCGCGCGATTGTAATTAACGGCGAGCGAATAATCGCCGAATGGAAAACTCGCGCGATTGATTTGTAAGCGCTACATGTTAACGTCTGCATTATTATTGTCAGCAATTATTACGACCTAGAAATCGAAGCGAAGTGGCGAAATATCGTTTCACGCAATTATAACGAGACGTCCCTCCTCTCCTTCTTCAAGAGAATAAAGAGATAAAAAATGGCTTGAATTATGCGCGTGTCATATATTTCCCGTATATATATTACACGACGGCCGATACCGTCGCGCTCCTGTCACCGTAATTTTTATCGCGCGCTATCAGCGCACCGAGCCCACGTTCTCGCCATTACACGTGTAATAACAGTGACATAAAGAAGTTCCGTTCTTATCGTTTTATTGAGAGAGAAACCGCGCGCGCCAAATAACTCTCCTCACGATTTTGATTGTTATTTATTCGCATTATCGATTTGCTTTTATTATCAGTGCCGATATTACCCGTCGTTCCACGAGCGCGCACACACACACACTCTCTCAGTCGACGCTCCGCGTAAAGAAAAGTGCCCGGCTTATCGTTGGATAAAATGTCAAGGGCGACATAAACAACCGTAGCAATACGATTTCGAGCTGCGATTCCCCGACGTTGTTTCGGCATTGGACTCGCGGCGTGTATCATTAAGCGTGCTTTAAGAACGCCCGATGTATAATCGAACGATCCCTGATAGTAATTACTAAGCCTCGAAACGATAACCTCCCGAGTGCACGTTGTAATTTATCGTGCGCCGGTCTTCGATTTCTCCCTCTCTTTTGTACCGCGAATTTCAATCCGCTTCTCATCTCGCTCGGGAAAGAATCGCGACGAACCTATATGTATTCTTCGATTGAGACGAAGAGTATCGAGAGGAGCGCTGCCACGATACATTATCTACACAATTTACCTCGTTGCTCGATTATTCTCCATCAGTACTTCCGAGAATGCGTAGAGAGTACGCTCTCACCGAGTCCACGTATTGTCCGGGCAGCACGTCTCGCACTTTTCCTTTCACACGACACTCATCGATCTTGCCACTAACTGAACCACTGGATGCTTTCGCGAAATTATCGTCGTTATTAATAACAACGACGCGCGATATATAAAGGAGAGGAGAGAGCGCGAAAATGTATTGAAAAGATAGAGAATTATATACACATATATATATATACGGCAATAATTATCCGAAAGAACTTTATCAGTCGTACAACTACGCGCTCGGTATAGTCAGGGCCGGCCGAGCGCCCAATGCGGACTGACTATAACTGTAAACGATCACTTGTCGGCGAAGAACCGAGAAGGCCCCACCGGCCTCCCTCGGGGACTCCCGCCACGGCGGCGGCATACCGGTGTGTACGTAGCTCTCCTCCACCAGCTCCCACCAAAAACCAGTTCTGCTCCGTTTCCACCTGCTCGAACGCGGCGCGATCGGGCTCCCCGTTAAAATCGAAAGATTCCAACATTTCGAGAAGGAGGACGCGCCGTTCGATTTTCTTCCCTTCCTTTGTTTCTTTTTATGTTATCAGGAAGTGTGCGACACATTACGCAACTTGGCGTAACTTCCGCGAAATGCAACGTCGCAGGTACTCATCGTTGCTGTAAACAAATTACCGAACGCCCGAGTGCTCTTCTTCCTGTAAGAAGGCTTCGCCCGTCAAACACGACGTTTCTATCTTGGAACGCTGAGAGAGACAGGCGACTAATTAACATTTTTTCGTCGAGCGAAATTCTCTCTCCTCCTCCTCCTCCTCTTCGAACCGGTTCCTGCGCGATTTTAAATTGGGGTAACCAAGCCACGGGGCCGTTCTATCGATATCTCGAAGCAGAATTTACATTAGTAATTCGCGAAAACATCGTCGATGAACCAGCGATGCGCGTCGAATTACGAAAGATCAGCTCTCGCCGGTTGAAAGGACGAAAAGGAAAACGCTTCGCCGATGAAGAAACGCGAAAATGTCAACGCGGGCCGGGTGGTGATTTCGCTTCCACTTTCGTCGTTTTCGCTAGAGGGAAGCTCGCATCGCGATGATACGTAACGGTAATGCGGGAGAGACATTCCAGCTCGACTGAATCAGTCCGTTCGTTGTCCATAGCCGATGATCGCGTATCGGTCAAGGCCCCTTCTACCTTCTTCCACTTTTGTACGGTGAGGCCACCTTCACCTTCTCTCCGCTCGGCGCGCACGTTCTTCGCTTCTTTCCCTCCGTTTCCGTTTCTATTTCGCACCGAACGCGAAGAAAAGAGAATGCTTCGAGTATAGTTGGCGACGAGCTCTGTGCCAGTGAGAACAATGCGTTCTTGCGTCAACGATGAACAAATAAACAGACAACGGATGAGCCGCGCGATTACAAGTGCTCGCCGTGACGCGCGTATCTTCGTGACGTAACGCGATATCGAACGCCCGTCTGCTCGAAATTATCGTTCAATGGTAATTGACATTTCGCTGAAATTATTACAAACATTTTACGCACGTATATATAAATGTTATTTATGTATAAAAAATATAATTATCCACATATAATACAGATGCGTACGATAATTAAACTTTTCGATGCTTCAGACATATTGTATGACGATTGAGATTGGTATGTGACGCGTATCAAACATTTCAACAGAACATAAGGAGCTTCAAAAAAAAAAAAACCCAAGTGTTTCTCACAAGTATCTTTATTCAGACTCTTATCAGAATCTTTCTCGGATATTAATATGTTTCGCGAGTGATTTCCAATTGACACATCAGTCAGCTACTAATGATTATTAAAAACAGAAATACATAGTAGCTGAATAATATTTACACGGCTCATTCTACTTATCGCGGCAAAACGAACAAATTTCTCGCTATAATGATACGTTATTGGCTCGCTCGATTGATATCGATCGCGTATATATCGAGAACAACGTGCTTGGACTGCACTTCGATGCTCTCTTGACTCGGCAAGAATTCAACTCAAAACACCCGTTGATACACACCTTCTTTCTTGCAACGCGACGCCGCCGTCGCTGCATAAGTGCGCGCTTTGCATTCTCGTCGCAATGTCCCGGGGACAATATTTAACCCGTTAAAATCGACACGCTCTCACAATGAGAGGAGCGCCCAAGACGAGAAATTCTTTTTTCCCTTTTCCTTTTTAGTGAAATTTAACGACGAAACAGAGGCGAGTAAATCGCTCGTTAAAGATTACTCGATTTTGCTTAATTCGGCCCCGGTTTCTCCTCCGTTACATTCCGATATATACTCTATCCGTTGTAACGAATCGACGAAATCTTTCAAGGATCAATCCGTCTTTCAGGATCAATCTGTACGTTTTTTCTATTTTTATTTGTAGATGGACAAAAT